CGAGGAGTGGCTGGTGGGTTTGAACCGCCAGCCTTCTGGTTAGCAGTCAAGTGCCTTAGCCACTATGCTACCAGAGCTTTAATCCAGGTCTATAGGACTCCTTGTTATTCTTTGCCATGAGTGTTTCCCCTTGTTGTTGTTGTTGTTGTTAGATGTCATCAAGTCATCTCCGACCATAGCGATCCTATGCACAGCAGAACGAAACACCACCCAGTTCTGAGCCAATTCCATGATTCTCACTATACTTGAGCCCATAGCTGCTGCCACCGTGTCAATCCATCTCGTTAAGGGCCTTCCCCTCTTTCGTTGACCCTTCACCTTACCAAGCATGACATCCTTTTCCAGGGAATGGTACCTTCTGACAACATGATCAATATATGTGAGCCAAAGTCTGGCCATTCTTGCCTCCAAGGAGCATTCTGCCAGCACTTCCTCCAGGATAGACCTGTTAGTTCTTTAGCAGTCCACAGTACTTTCAGCATTCTTCACCAACACCACAGCTCAAAAGCATCAACTAGTCTTTGGTCTTCCTCATTCACTGTCCAGCTCTCACATGCATATGAGGTGACTGAAAATACCATGGCTTGTGTCAGGTGCACCTTAGTCCTCAAGGAGACATCTTTGCTCTTCAGCACTTGAAAGAGGTCCTTTGCAGCCGATTTGCCCAGGGCTATATGTCATCTGAGGGAGCTCTGCTAGCATAGCGCCTAAGGCACTTGACTGCTAACCAAAAGGCTGGCAGTTCAAACCCACCAGCCACTCCTCAGAAGGAAAGTTGGGCAATCTATTTCTGTAGTGACACTGCCTTGGAAACCCGAGGAGAGGTCGCTATGAGTCAGATCCGACTCGATGGCACATAACAACATACGTCATCTGATGTCGTAACTGCTGCTTCCATTGGCATTGATTGTAGAACCAAGTAATGTGAAGTCTTTGACAATTTCAATCTTTTCTCCATTTATCAGAATGCTACTTATAGGTCCAGTTGTGAGGATTTTTGTTTTCTTTATATTGAGATGTAATCCATACTGCAGACTGTATTCTTCAATCTTTATCAGTATGTACTTTAAGTCATCCTCACCTTCAGCAAGCAAAGTTGTGTCATCAGCATATTGCAGGTTGTTAATGAGTCTTCCTCCAATCCTGATCCCATGTTTTTCTTCATATAGTCCAGCTTCTTGGATTATTTGCTCAGCATACAGATT